AATATCCTTGCATTAAAATTTTAATTCAAAATTTCCAAAATTATAAATTTCCTAATTTATCTATTGATTTGTGGTTAATATTGGTTCTCACAGTTACCACAAACTAATTAGTTCTCATTTGATTAGGCCCCTATATATATATATATATATATATAGACTTGAGATCACGTGAGACCCGTCTATTCTCGTGAGATCCATGAGACTATTTTTTTACATTTTGAACTTCACAGCAAAACACTGTAAAAGTAATCTTCATAATGTTTTTGCTGTGAAGTTTCGGTTTTTTTTATCTTCACAAAGTTTTTTTTGTGAAGTTTCAAGTGTAAAAAAGTGATTTCACGAAAACAAGTTGGTCTCACATGAACTCAATCCTATATATGTGTGTGTATACATAAGTGGAGGTTCAAATAAGAACCCTTATGATTTACGAGAACAACTTACTAACCTCAAACTTTTTTAATCAATAATTTAAATTATATTAAATACAAATAAGTCAATAAGAGCATTAATGTAATTAGTTATTTTTTTACAATTTTTATTTTATTTTAATCAATTAGAATTATCCCATACTTTTTTGTTAGGATTGATCACGTTCATTGTATCATTTTCTTCCTTTTTAATTTATGCTATCATTTTTTCTTCCCATCGGTTCATAGTATCCAATTTTTCTTGACTTAGAATGGAGGATTTGAATGTTGTAGGTTAGTAATTGAGAATTTTGATGTTTATCACTTATGATAAACATCCAATTTTAAATTATCTGAAGATAGTTCTGTTGATGATGATGAAGATACGATAATAGTGTGATAGCAATAATATTTCATAGTTTTTTTTTTTTTTCTAAATCGATTGTGTTATCGTTAGGACTATAATGATTTGGGGTTTTTTTTATCACATGTGATAAAAGGTACATGAAATTATGAATGTCAACATTTTTAGTCGATTTTTAGTTATTGGTACATGTTAATTTGAGTTTTAGGTTATAGTAGTTTTGTAATTGAGAATTAAACATCCCAATTTGAAATTTGTATGTTACTGTAATCCTTGATGAGGTTGATTATCACACCAAATCGTGTAGTCGATTTTCTAATAACCCTAGCCGAGCGGAATTCTTGTGATAATTGTGTGATAATCACACCCATATCACACACAAATCATACCAAATCGTGTTGAAATAAGCAATAACCATAATAACCAATTATGTTATCCCATATTATCAGGTTTAGTGTGGTCGTGTTTTTTAAATTTTATCACTTTGAATTCCAGTATTACCCTTTTACCTCTCAATTTTTTTTGAATTGTTTTTAATTTCATTTTTGGCTAATTTTTTTTAATGTTTATTGTTATCACAATATGAGGTTAATAAGTTGTTCTCGCATTGTCGCAAATCACAAAGGTTCTCGTTTGAATATTTCACTATATATATGTATTTATGTATCTTAAAAAAATGTGTCAAATATCGGATAAACGCTAATATCATTACTATTTTATGATGATCGCTACAACAATATTGTATCTAATTTTTTGTAAAAATGCTTATTAACTTATATATGTAAAATGATCAAAAATGACAGTCTTCCATATAATAATATTTTTGATTATTAACTTATTTGATTTTTTAACATGTAAAAATTTATTTTTCATCATTTATAATAATTTTTTTGACAAAAATTTATATCAATAAGATTAATAATTAACAAACATTAATAAAACAGAGTTAAAATGGTAAACTGGTAATAAACAGTTTTTCACAAGTCAAAAATGATTAACTTATCAAAAACTGCTTATTACCGGTTTGACACCGGTATAAGCAATTTTTTTTCCTTACCCAAACACTAAAAAACAGTTATCTCCGATGCCAGACTGAAATAATTTAAAAAATAGCTTTAATAAGCAATCCCAAACACCCCCTTAATTTTTTACAAGGAAATTGATTTAAATAGTTATTCTACCTATTTAAATTGGCCTCTTAACCATTTTTTTTATTTATCCATTTTTCTTCCGGGTTTATTCAAATGTCACTACGTCTGCAATATTCACATCCCGCAATATTGCAGACCTGACTAACAGATTAAAAAAAAAATCAAATTCCACCAGATTAGTAAGTGATACCATCACAATTGCGTATCTGAGTTAAATCTAAGAGTTTGTTTTTTTTTTTAAATTACCTCTTAATACCTCTGAAGTCTGATTCGTTCAGACGTTTGGATATTAAGAAGGTTTGTTTTATTTCTAAAATAAGAGCTTAAAAGCTCTAAATGTTCTCTAGAATTTTAAGTGGTAAACGTATCCCTTAATACCTCTTAATCTTAATCCGTCCTCTATCAGATGGTTCTTATTTTGGGGGATGAAAGAGATTTGTTAACAAAAACTATTTATCTTTTATACTTTTGTAAAAAAAAGCTATTTATCTTTTATATTTTTGCACTAGTTTGATCGATTCAGATTTCAGACTTCAAATGTAAAAACAAACACTTTTATTGATCCAGATTTCAGAACCACTTCTTATAAATCAGAAGTGAAATCAGACTTCAGACTTCAGCATCTTTTAAAAAACAAACACGACCTAATAGTTTTATTCATGTCTTTTAGCCAGGTCCGCAATATTACGAATGTGTATATTGCATACGTAGTGACATTTTGATAAAACCGAGAGAGGAATTACTATAAAAACAATTTGAACTGAACATAAAAAACGTTTGTTGACTAGCTTAAATTTTTTATTTTTTATCCTCATCTTACATGCTTCCCTCCCAATCCCATATGGTCATATACTTGCCTCTCCCACGTCCCATCCAACATACCCTCACCTTATTAATTTCCTGGATCCACAACTGTTAAAATGCATTGAAGAATAGCCCCTTTTGTTGAAAAACCTTGTATTAATCAATATTTTATTTTAATATCATTACCCCTCTCACACACTCTTTAATTTGGAAGACTTTTTTCCATACCATTTAATCACATAAACTTTTTTATCATTGGAAATGGTCTAAAAATATTCGTGTACTACAACATAATATACTTTTATCTGGTCTTTTTCGATTTCATTATGTAGATGTTAAATGATACCTCAATTTCCTACGGTTTTTTGATCGTCCAACAAATTTGTCTGCGAGCATGCAATTTGTTCCTTCATGCCCATGCAAAACATGTTTTTTTGGAGGCTAACAAGCTTTTGGAGAGTACTATTCACAACTTTTCAACTAATATTACCTATTTAAAGCGATTGTGTCCCTTATGAAATCATTAAAAAATTGATAATCTTTGCTTCGAATACTCATATTTGCCAACTACAAGTTTCATCATTTTGGTTTCTTTGAGCTTACACTTTCTTTATCTTTTTTAGTGTTTTCTCAAAATAGATTGAGTTCATATGATAAAAGTAGCTCATGAACATGCTTAGATATCACCGATTTTATTACGTGTTTATCTCTAAATATACAAACTTATCATAGCTGTGATTCTACTTCTTTAAGAGCATTCTAATCTTCATCCTTCACTAATGGATTTTTTTTTCTGATGGGTTTTCTTCCAATTTGGATTTCCACGTAAACGTTGGTGTTGTCTTCTGACTCTATCTCTTTAATTTGTATGAGATTCATATTTAATAGGTGAATGGTCATATTTATATGTTTTTGAAAACTATCTTGTACATTTAAGAATACCCTTTGAACACAAGACAGACGGGGACATATCCAATCCCTTAACTTTTTGATCCCAATTCAATTGTTGTTTGATATAATAACAGAGGTGTCGGACTCAGACTCTGAGAAAGATGACACGCGGCTAGTTCCGACTCTTAGTCCCATAGTCTTGAAACTCGGCCATACTTCCTTTGGCTTTCGATCCCCTCCTTCACAAAGGAGCGCAATTGAAACTCATCTAACGATGTTATGGTAAAGAGTTTCAAACTACGAGATTCATTGAGATCACTAACTTATCGGTCTTTTAAGTTTAAATCATCTCATTTCCATTTTACAAAAGTAGATTTATATAGGAGGTGTTTGGGATTGTTTATTTAAAACAACTTATGTTTTTTTACAAAAATTTTTATCCACTTATTATAAATTAGAATGATTTAACTTCTTCAAAAACTTCTTATTACCGGTTTGGCACCGATATAAACTATTTATCCAAACAACCAAAAGTACTTATTACCGATACCACACCGTAATAAATCAATAAATTGTTTTTATAAACAATCACAAACACACTAATAATATTGTAAAAACTGGGTTTTCTCTACTTTACTGAAACAGTCTTTAATCATAAACCCTACGTACACACACAGGCGACACCTCTTCGCTCTGTCATCCCCTTCGCAACGCTCAAACGATACCGTTTTCCCTGAATACGTTTTGGGGTTTTGTGTGTATCAGCCTGTAAATCGTCAATGGCGTGGGAAGTGATTCTATGGGTTATCTTCTTTATAATGAACACGGCCCTCATCGCCTCTAATCTGTATCAGGTAATCGTATCATCATTATCTCCTCTACTCTTACTCTGTATTGCTTCATGCATTTGATCAGATATGCCATTGTGATTTATTAGAGAAATTGTTGAGTTTCTCCCCACCTGAGTTGGCTGTAGGGTTTTGATTTTCAGTTTTCCCCCTTTCTGGCCAATCAATAAAAATAAGTTACTTTCTATAGCATAATGTGTGTATTGGAGTTAATGGAGTGGAAATCTACGTGCTTGTGGACTGTAGAAATAGATTCATCAAAGAGTACATCTCTACTAACAAAAATTTTGTGGATGATTAGATAATCTAAGAAATAGTCTTTCTGATTATGAAGTATCTACAAGTTGGGTATTATTATGTCCATTTTTGTTGTCATCTAATGATTTTGAGGCGTTCTACTTTTGGAGTGGTGTTGTAAAGAGTTCATGAGAGCATATACTATGTAGAACCATGGAAGGTAATCTCTTGATGTGATAAGTTTAGGCTAGGATACATTATCCTTGAATATGTTTAGGAAAGTGTACTTGAATTGAATGGATTTTCCCAATTCAAGAAGTTTTCTAGGTTTACTTAACCATCCCGTTTTGTTGCGGTATGTAAGGCAAGAAGTTTTATGGATGATGCCATGTTTGTGGAAGAAGTCACATAGAGAGTTGTTCAAAAAATTTGTACCATTATCACTACGTATGGTCTTAATGGAAATTGGAATCGAGCTTGAACATATGTGTAATAATTTAATATTTGAAATATCTAAAATAGGATGACTATATGGTCCCCTTTCATCAACATGAATGAGTTCAAACAAGGACTTTGCATGTGAAACACTAAGAGACAAAGGAAGATACGATATAACTTGTGATGGGTTAGAGATAGAAAATTCACAAGCTTAACCATGAGTATCAAACCCACAAGTTAATGATACCAATCGATTATACAGAACTAGGGTTAGATGCAAACATTGAAAATAGAAAAGTGTTTATCTTCATTGATCCAATTTTTCTTTGGTTGAAAGTGATATCCAGTTCTGTAAATTTGCTTAACATCATCATCGATGTACCATGCAGATGAATTTGATAATCGAGATAGATTTTATGAAAGGTCTTGACTCGCGAAAGGCATTAACAATGACAAAAGGTACCAAACCCATAAAAATCTATGGACAACCCCATCATTATCATAATTAAACATTTTTTTGAAATCTTAATGTATAAACATTTAATTTTTTTTGCATGTTTATACATTAAGATTTAAAAAACAAAATTGTTTAATTATGATAATGATGGGGTTCTCCATTGATTTTTATGTGTTTGGTATCTTTTGTCATTGTTAATGCCTTTCGCGAGTCATGACCTTTCACAAAATCTATCTCGATTATCATATTCATCTGCATGGTACATCGATGATGATGTTAAGCAAGTTTACAGAACCGGTAATCACTTTCAATCAAAGAAAAATTGGAACAATGAAGTAAACTCTTTTCTATTTTCAATGTTTGCATCTAACCCTAGTTCTGTATGATCGATTGGAATCATTAATTTGTGGGTTTGATACTCATGGAAGCTTGTGAATTTTCTATCTCTAACCCATCACAAGTTAGATCGTATCTTCCTTTATCTCCTAGTGTTTCACATGCAAAGTCCTTGTTTGAACTCATTCATGTTGATGAAAGGGGACCAAATAGATATTTCAAATATTAAATTATTACACATATGTTCAAGCTCAATTCCAATTTCCATTAAGACCGTACGTAGTGATAATGGTAAAAAGTTTTTGAACAACTCTCTATGTGACTTCTTCCACAAACATGATATCATCCATAAAACTTCTTGTCTTACATACCGCAACAAAATGGGATAGTTAAGTAAACCTAGAAAACTTCTTGAATTGGGCAAATCCATTCAAATCAAGCACACTTTCCTAAACATATTCAAGGATGTTGTATCCTAGCCTCCACTTATCTCATCAAGAGATTACCTTCCATAGTTCTACATAGTATATGCTCTCATGAACTCTTGTACAACACCACTCCAAAAGTAGAACGCCTCAAAATCATTGGATGACAATAAAAATGGACATAAATACCCAACTTGTAGATACTTCATAATCAGAAAGGCTATTTTCTAGATTATCTAATCATCCACAAAATTTTTGTTAGTAGAGATGTACTCTTTGATGAATCCATTTCTACAGTCCACAAGCACGTAGATTTCCACTCCATTAACTCCAATACACACTCCACAAACTCAAGTACTCGGAGGCCCCTGCCAACTCAACCTCCCTCTCAACGAGTCGGTCCTACCTCACCCATACCTTCATGACAACACCACTCTCACTCCCCCACGCTCTCTCATATTCTATCTAACATCCAAAAACAAATTCCAAATTCAACCACCCAAAAATGTACTACTCCTGACCAGGATTCTTCCACTCGACCACCTACTTCTCTTATCTCACACCTTGGACGTCACATAGAGATAAGAAATTACCATCCAAGCTTGATGATTATCCTTTGACCCTTCACAAATCCCTTGTTAACGCAATACTCACCAAACACCATCGCTCCAAGTTCACAGATTAATCCAAAAAAGTTCACCAATCTCTCAAACACCTCATCAATTATATTGATAGCATAGTGGAACCACAAACTCTTACTCAAGCATCACAATATCAGAGGATGAAAGGTAAGTAGAAGCTATGGATAAAGAAATAACAGCCCTTGAATTCAATAAAAATGTGAGATCCCATCACCCTCCCTCCAGGAAAAATAATGGGTGTATAAAATTAAATGCAATGTTGATGGTTCCATAAGAAGGTTCAAGTCCCTACTTTACTTGGAAAGAGGAAATTGACTAAAAGGAGATATTTGCTCTATAGCAAAGACTGTAACAATTCAAACTCTCCTTTTTGTAGTTATTCCGTTCTTGGAACTAAATTTTTCTCACAAAAACATTCATTGAAAAATTTGTTTGTGCATTATTTTTTTAAATGGAAAAGACACTCGTACGCCCTGTTAGTGACGAGTATCAAATCCTCACTCACTAGTTCCGAAGATTAGGCTAGGTATCACCGTACCAGTTGAGCTAAAAAAGTGGTATTTTTGTTTCATAAATAATTCTTAAAGTAAACAACCGTCAAGACTATGCAAAGAGAGAATGATTGTTGATGCAGGTTGTTGACAAATTGAGAGTTCAAGCTGAAATGATGTATATGAGAACTTGAAGATATATTAGTAAAACTCTACTTTGATTACACATTTTTCCTTTCAAGTATTTGTCCATCATCAAGTCCCAATTAAAAGTGGAATATTTTCAATATTTTTTTTTGATTAACCTGGATATCCAACCCGCTATGCGAGCCGACTAATCCCAGGGCGACCACCTGCGCAGATAGCCCGAAGTCATCACATTTGAACCTCCGTGGCCACAAGGGGATTTTTATTCCTCCTTGGATTTGAACCTGAGACCTCCTGATACTTTTGACCTTTGGAGCCAAACTCAAACCAATCAGGCACCACCCTTGTGGTTTCAATCTTTTCTTTTGAAGTATATAATATTTATATATGACAAATAAAATCACACACCCTCCCCACTTTTGGTAAGGCTTGAACCCTTGAACTCCTAGGAGGACAAAGTTTCGGATACCACGAGGCGAAAGGCCCTTTAGTAGACCAACTGTTAGCAATCTTATATATATATATATATATATATATATATTTAAGTGGCATAACATTCATTTGCCTGTTTATCATTCTATCCACCTTTTTGTTTACCTGTTGCAATCGCTTGTTTTCATCCAATCAAAATGAGGACTTAATTCTAAATGTTTTTTACGATTATTTTTCTTTGTGGTCTTGATGTTTATTGCGCTTCGTAACCCTGATGCTTGACATTCACCTATTTTCATATTTCATTCTGTTATCACATTTGCTTGATTTGATTTGTTTCTTTATATGATCGGTTGGTTAGTTGTTAGCTTGTTGTCTAATGCTATTGAAATGAACTTGTAGATTGTGTGCCTAACAGATTTGGAGGCTGATTACATGAATCCTTATGACTCATCATCTCGCATTAATGCTGTCATAATTCCTGAGATGGTACTCCATGGTGTTTGCTGCGCCCTTTTCCTTGTCACAGGCCATTGGTTCATGTTCCTTCTTACGCTCCCCATCGCCATATATAGTACCATGCTGTAAGTTACTTCCTTTTTACTTTTCTACCGAGGCTCACCTATGTAACGATATATAGTTGGGAACATGTGAGAACAAATTTTTTGGTGAGAACACTTATGAGCCTTTGGATGAGTTTTATTTTATTTTATTTGATGGCTCACAAAAAACACGAACCTTCACCTCCACTTTCAGTCACCCTCACGAACTTTCACATAATTTTAGTCACCTTCACATATGTGAATTTGTTGAAGTTTTAGTTATGGTGACACAAGTAGGTAAATGAATGTAGATGAAGGTCCGTGTTTTCACTGTTCTCACCAAAAAATTGGTGTTACATGGTTATGTATATTATGTGATGTATTTTACTTTTTCCTATTTTCTGTGAGGCGGTCATGATTTTTCAGTGCTCAGAATTATCGTCACTGTTTATTTTTCTTGCTGACATTGAAGTCTATCATCTGCTTGATTAGTTGTTTGAGAAGCATTTCCTATAGTCATATGTTTCAGAAGTCTTTAGCATTTCTGGTTTCAGAGGTTACTAAATATCTATGCTGTTAATTGCGGCGATATATCGGATAGCGGACATTAGCAAAATAACGGTGGTCAGATTGCGGTAGCGCAATTATCGGTGCTATTTACCGCAATTTTGACCGATATTTAGGGTCAATTGCTTTCGATATTAACGTTACTTTTTTGGGGGGGGGGGGGGGTTGGGCTTTATTTTTCTTAAGTTTAATCCATTAACATAAGTTGGAAGAACTTGGTTTCTCTATAGACAACCTTATGGTGGAAGAACTGCTTTATTTTGCAAATGATATGTTTTTGTAGGCATATTATATATAGTTATATATAATTCTAAGAAATATTATACGAACCGCTATTTTTGGACCACCATACCACTGCTATTTCAAATATCGATCCCGACTGCAATTTTGTATTTTCACCGCTATAACAGCATAGTTGAATATATGACATGATGTTATTCATTGAGTTCATGTTAATCTTTTGTTAGGTTCAAAAAGATCAAATAATTCTTATAAAACCAAAGGTAGAGAGAGAGTGTGTATACCGGGGGACCGGATTTACCAAACGCACCCTGGCCTAAATAACAGTTGCACGTAACATGAACTATAACACGGATTTTCTTATCTCTCTGGTAACATCAACAAGATAATGTGATGTTACTGGGAACAAAAAAGATACCGAAGGTCATTTGCTCCACTTGCAGAACTTTATCAGCTAAGTGCTTCTTTCCTTAAGTTCCTGATGATTCCTCTTATGTTGATGTTTTTGTATTTTCGTATGTTTCAGATACTCGAAAAAACGACATCTTATTGATGTAACTGAAGTTTTCAGATTTATTGATGCTGAAAAGAAGTATCGGATTGCTAAGCTTGCTTTCTACTTGATTCTCTTTGTTCTAGTCATTATCAGGTCAGATGTTTTCGATTGTGTATCCATACATTAGATCAGTAAATTAGAGATGTACTTCGACTTTTATAATCAAGCGACTATTTCAAAGACGTTAATTTAGAATCCAACATGTGATTACTATTGAATTCACCTGATCCTCAGGTTTTCAAGTTCTAGATTTTGCGATCACCATGACCATATACCTCTAGCTTTTGGTTCATTTCCTGACCTGTTAGATGCTAATTGGGTATGCTAATTTTCGTTCATCCTCCTGTCTCCCATTCGTTTATTACCACATCAACTAAACGAGACCTGTTGAGCCTGTTCTTACTTGGTGTTTGTTCTTAAATCCTATTTGAAGTTTACATTTTTGTACGGTTTTTCTATGGGATGGAGGCTGTTATCTGTCGTTGCTGACGATAGTTTAATGATGCAGGATGGTAATAGCGATTGTCAACAATTTGATAGACGATGAGGAAGAAAGGGTACCTGGGTTCGGAATATTTTGATTCTTTTGCTCATATTGATTTATCGGGTTTGTAACATTACTTGTAATTTCTAACAACATAGTGCAGATTTCTGCTCCTCGGGTCTTGTATGTAGAGGTAAGGCCTGCTTACATTCTATCATTCAAATGAGATTTACGGGGTTCGTTTGATTTAATTTATGTTTTGTAAAATTCTTGATGATGTTTTTTGTTTAGGTACAATGTCCTTTAGAATCTTGTATAAGTTAAATATTTATTTGTTTGAGATAACTAAGGAGAACAAATGAGGAGTCCCGACTTGTTTCATATAACCATTTTGAGATAACTAACGAGAACACCCAAATTCAGTTTATAGTCGTTTTTCTATTCAATTAACTGAAATATTCAAATATTTCACTAGTAGCACTTTAGTAACTTGCAAAATCTACTTTTTAATTTGGGTAAGTAGCATTTTAGCAAATTGCCTAAGTGACAACTTGCACATCAACATTTCACAAGTAGCACTTTAGCAACTTGAGAAATCGCTACTTTATAAATATTATATTCATAAAAATTGGATTTTGCAAATTGTTAAAGGTTGGTTGAAATGTTGACTATTTCGGTCAATTATGTAGGAGATCGGCTATACCGTGAATTAGAAGGTCAAAAATGATTATCTCTGTTTCTAAGGTATTAGGTTCTTGCAATTTAGCTAAAATATCAATCCGCTGAAAGAACGAATGTAATTTACTTACTAAAATAAGGTAAACACACCTTGTTACTCCATTATATTCATAAATTTAATTAAAATACGTTCGTTTTCTGAAAGAAGTAATGCAATTACTTATTTAAAGAAATCAAAAAGTTTATGAAATATTCAGCTATATTAATAGAGAACAATTACATCTAAGTCACTCTGGCCAACAAAGTCTAAGCCCGTTTATAGTAAGTGTTTATCGGGTAATTTTCATTACCAAACGAACATGGAAGGGTTTAGAATCTTACCTGGTTAGAGCGGTAAAATGATGGAGAATCATACCCGGTAAGAGTGGTGAAAGAATGGAGTCTTACCCAGTAAGTGAGAGTAACGACTCTTACCCGAGTAAATGCTTACCGGGTAAATTGTTGCATACTATATCATTTTAATTCACTACAATCTTACCAGAAAAATAAATTGTAGTGTTAGACTCATATCGATAAATGCTTACCTGGTAAACATTTGATTAAACGACCCCTAAATTTGCTTTTAACACTCGATCTCGTTCAAAACTTGATTTGTCAAAACACATTTGTTCTTCCCTCTATCACGATTTTATACCCATATTTCCCAATCATAACGCATGATAATTGTCAATTGATTGCCCATTAAACCTCATTAAAAAGAATCGGCCGTTGCAATCTATTCAAATTTCAAAGTTTGTCTGATTGACAAACTAGGTCCCTCTATTTTCGGCCATATATATTTCAAATCCCGATTTCCCACTTTCAATACTTGGCAACTATTCCCCCTTTTCTTTCTCATTTTTCACTTTTGACCCAACAAAATCCACCATTTGTTTTATTATCCCTTTCCCCTTTTTTCTATAAATATTTATTTATCTTATTTTTGAGGTGTCACATATAGGGTTGGGTTCACGTGAGACCAAAGGTTTTTTCTGAGACCCGTAAGATCAATTTATGTTCATTGATCAACTTTATAAGTTAATGATCTAATGATTTAAAGTTGCACGGTGACAATTTTGTGATTATTGAGAAGTCTCGCGACAATTTTGTAATTATGAATATTCAGATTGTAAATCTAATCCAAGGGTTGAGAATTGGTCTTACGGATCTCAGTCTCACAAAAAACCCTTAGTCTCACATGATCCTAAGTCGTCACATATATTCCAACATTAAATATATTAATAAAATATTTACTAATATAACAAAAATGAAGGATTTTTTAGAAATTTCAGAATTTGTAGAAAATTGTATTATTTATCATACTTTTTTTCATTTAAAGACATTTTTACAAAAATTGTTGGAGAAAAAGGAACTCCACAAAATTGTCCACACATCATGATTTATTTGGGTCTTCACGGACGTTGGCATGTGCCTTCTTGCGGATGTCCACGATAACTTTTTTTTCCCCTCAGTTTAGATGTTTTGTTATTATATATCATATAATAACAAAACATCTAAATGACAATCGCAAATTAAAATGTGTTAGGAAGATTTTGTATTACTCTTCAACTCTTAATTAAATTCGGTTCATTGAGAAGCACATTATTTGATAATTAATTTTGAACGCAATGTTGTTGGGAGTTAAAGGTTGTTCACAGATTGAGAATAAATTAAGCATTGTTGATTTTTGCAGATTTATAGGACGACAATGACACAAGTATCAAGCGGAGGTTACCTACCCCTGTTAATTAATGTTTCTAATTAAACAATGATATAATTTTATAATCTTATTTGAACCCTGAACGATAAACACTTTGGCCTTTGCTAACGCCAAATTCTTTGCATCACTTCGGTTTTTTTTAATGACACGGGCTGCTGTTCACCCAACAACGGATGTTGATCTCGACACCATGTTTTCAGCACTATTACCGACTCAATCAAATAATTTTTTGTCAAACGCGATTGGTTCATCTATGGTAGTACTTAAATTTATTTAATATAATTTACATTTTATTCTAAATTGAATTTGTCTCGTTCAAGTTTCAACTTCATAATATTCATGTATCGTGTCGCTAAATATTCTTTTTTTTTTTCTATATATGTTTTCTTATCTTTTCCCTTTTAGTTTACCCTTGTCCTTTTTCAACAAGATATGCATTACTTGTATCCCAAGATATCCTTCTTTCAATTTAACAGCTACAATATTCTCTGACTCCAATAATATGCACGAGTACCATTCTAGTATATATATATAATTATAAGAGTTACCACTTTTGCCATAATTTCAATTTTCTATATATTATTTTACACATAAAAAGGTCACACATTATAAGTACAAAATACAATTCTGACAAATGGAAAAGAAACCAACATATATAATCACCAATTGTTGAAACTCTTACAACACGTAAAGTGAAGTAGATACTTACATTGTAAACACTTAAAGATCATCGTGTACTGCAATGAATAGCCACAATTGTCGCACTCATCCTGGCTCTCAATCCCTTGAACAAATGACACAGGGTGTGGGTGATCTTCAATCTTATGAATCCCCCCAAACTTTATATTCAAAAACTCATAAATCCTTTTAGGAACACGATAAGCTCTTGCAGCTCTTCTGCATTCAAGTATTAACGGAGCACATGCAGAATGTATAGATTGGACACATTCATAACAATGATAGAACCAATACTCTGGATCAAATTCCACTTCACAAACTTCACAAAAATATTGACTCTTATGATTCTCGATAGGGAAATAGCTCAGCTTCATGGGATGCTTATCAAATYTGTGTCTAATYGTTTCSGGTAATAACAAWGCACACTCGGGATGCAAATCAAATTCACAAGTATCACAACTAAATGAAAATCCATTTWCAACGAAAYYTCTCACACATGAACGACAACGGTTTTTACTCGTCCTTGATTGAACTCTCCAAAGGAGATGATTCGGATGAGCTTGGTGTACTATTTTATCAGGTATGAATGCGCAATTTACATCTACGTAGTACTCACATTCACGACAAGTATAGACAAACCCGTTGCAATATAAACGGCAAACAACACACCTGAACACACCCAAAAGCCTATGAGAGAGAATTGGTAGGAGAACAAGAGGATGTTGAGGGTGACCTGGGTGGTTTGGTACTTGATCGGGTAGTCGGGTGCACCACTCATGAAGAACAAAGTCGCATGACTCATCTTCATTGGCACACTTGTAAAATGGCATGTTTGTGATTGGCCTCAAACATCCATTACATAGTAGTTCGATCTTCTTCATTGGGTTATGACAAGATAACGGTTTGGATTTTGAGGAGGCTGACTTTGTTTTTTCATTACCTTGTGTACCAACTAGAATKAGYGGGTGTTGATGACTCRTATGTTGTAGAGYCCCCTCATAAGTTGTATTMAYTGGGGATGCCATTTTTTCGAAAAACATGTGTTTTAGTATGCTGTATGTTTGATCAAGGAACGGGAAATAKAGAAGATCTGGATAGTCGGCATCCGCAAAGTTTTTATGGGTTTTGCCAAAACCTGATGAACCATATAAAATTCAGTAACTAAATAATCAATGAAAATCCACAAAATGAAAGCTGAGAAATTTACCGGCAGGCGAGAAGATGGACAAGAATGGTTCCCCTCTTGCCGTTGCACAATCTAGATGGSMATAGTATCTGCACTTGTCGCATTTATAAATCCATAGATTCTCGTTATYAAAAAAGCCTCCGCATACCCTACACCTAGGATCAAATTTGGCTTCTTGAACTGCTGCTGGGAAAGAATATGCAATGGCGAGTGGATGTTTATGAGAGAATTCATCATGCGTGGCATGTTGAATTAGCAGCTTTTTTGTCAAAAGAAAACAATCCGTATGGATAAAGAAGTTAGAGCATGTGATACATTGATAAAATATCCCCTGATGCTTTTTCCCACAAGCACTACACTCGCATATAATTGGTATAGTGATTTGAAGTAACGGGTGTTTGTGACTCGGGTGGTGGATTGTCTTTTTATCCGCCGTCAAAGCACAACTTATATCAACATCAAAGTCACATGAAGGACATTGATAACTTATTTCTCGAGGCTTATGATGCTGTTTACAAGCGTCACATTGCCAATGTATTTTTCTCTGTAGAAGGGTAAGAATATGATCATCGTGAGACGTGTGTTTTAATGTTGTTGGGAGGTCGGCACAGAATTTGTGGATTGAGTAGTCACATGAATCACTACACTTATAGTAATACCTGTGGTGATCATTGATTTCTTGGCCGCAACGATCACATGTACATTTGAAGTCCTCTGTTGCAATCATATCACCGTCCGTTTCATCCTCATCATCATAATCTTCTTGAATTTTGGAATATTCGAGCTCCAGATCGATGAGACTCAATGGGTGTTCATGTTCAAACACTTTCATCGTAATTAGCGAATGATTTTGAAAAAAACAAATCAAGGGCCAACAGGGAAAAGATGAGGAGGAGATATCAAGTATATACCAAGGGTTTGGTGATCTTGTCCTTGAAGAATGGAACTAGAGAATGTTATATAAAATAATTTGTCGGTGCACACGTGACCCCCTAATAAATGTAAACTAGATGCTTGTCGAATATTGTTCACTTTTTAT